AAGAACTAACAAAAAACAGACACTCTTTCTAAATGAATAGGTGCTAATAGCTACTAACAAAAAATTAAAAAGAGATTAAAGAAAAAAAAAAAGAACTGTGATTAATTCAAGAATTGACGTGTCTGTTTCAATAACTAAAAATGAGCATTGAAACAAGTCAAAATAAAGTCTAATTATAGTTAAAAATGAACTATACCGGAATTTTTGTTATATGAAATTAGTGCGTAAAAGTTGTCGACAATAAATAATAAATAAATCAACCTTTTGAGATCAACTTATTGCTCTACCAGTTAAATTCTTTTGCTTAAATGTGAAAAAAAAAATATTGTCAAATATTGAGAGAGGAAAAAACGACAAGAAGGAGCGATAAAATATCATTCATTGGATTGTCAATGGACATGCTCATGAGAGACAGGTATCAATGTGAATAAAAGTAGCCAGAGGCGAAGACATTCATCATACTAAGTGATCAGCATCTTCCATGTTTGACAAAAAGATGTTGTTGTGACCATGTGTCAAAAGAAGATAAACATACTTTTGAAAAAGAAAACAGAATTTGATTTTTATCGCAAAAAATGGTTAATGAACTTTAACACTCTTGAAATACATGGAGAAGGCAGCACATTTGACGAGCATTGTTTTTATATCACACTAAAGAATTCTACCACTCATCAAAACTTCACCTTTCTCTATGTTAATCTTAGTCTATATTGATTTACTCATTTGAATTGTGCACCTTACATCGTAATTATTCATTTAAAAATTAATAGAAAAAACTCTAATATCATCAACAGATTTCTAAGAATTTTTTTCTTATACTTTTCAACTATTTAAATGTCTTCTTTTTTCCTTCAAATTGATATGAACTGGTAAAAAAATGAACAATATTTGAAAAGAAATATTTACGATACTCGTATCATATATTGAGGAACATAAAACTGAAGACAACAAATAGAAAATAATATTTGATATCTATATACTTGTGCCTTTTGAAAGTATTCTGACATCTTTTTTTTCTAAATTTGTTCAAAAATGTTTCTAATACCTGTTGTCCATCATAATTAACATCGTCTATTAGACCCATCACCTGAACTATACTTACTAGAATATTGTGCAATAATACGTATAGATAGTTGCTGCTAAATTAGCAATAGGCATCAATTTTGTATTTTATGTTAATTTCAAATCAATTTTCAATTTGAAATGAAGAGTATGAACAAATTCTAGTTGCATATAAAAAATGGTGATCTGAGTTGTTAAAAAAAGTTATTTATATTTGAGATGGAATATTTAAAATGCTCAATCGTAAGTTGACAAAAAGGAAAACTAAAATAACAAATAGAACATAATCGTTTATATATATATTTGTAAATTTCAAAACTGCTTGAATGTCTTTTTTTTACTCTTAGTCATTTAAGAAATTTTCTACTTCATGTTCTCTCACAGTTGACAATCATATTTTAGTTCCAACGACTCAAATATAATTACATAGAATATTATACAATAATACACATAGATAGTTGCTGCTAAATTAGCAAAAAGAAGCAATGTTTTTTTTTTTGTTTTTTTTTTGTTTTATTGTACTATAACAACTATTTCCAACTAAAAATGAAGAGCACTAAACAGTTTCAGTTGCATAGAAAAAAAAAAGGTGATTTGAGTTGTTAAAAAGATTTATTCATATTTGAGATAGAATATTTAAGATACTCAATCATAAGTTGACGAACATGAAAATTAGAACAGAAAACAATACGTAGTCGTTTATATCTAATGATTGAAATAAGCTAATGATTAACAACATAAATGAAAGAAACAATTGTAGCATAGCATTAATAGAGACATAAGATGAACACACAAGAAATAGGATATTTAGTGAGTAGATAAAATGATTTCAACAAACGAATGAAACGAGGAAAAAAGCAGAAAGTGATATATATATATATATATATATATATATTACCTGCTAAATAAGCTAAGCATTGCTACTTGGCGATATACAAGATGAAAGATATTCTTTCTGTAAGTTCTCATATTTGTTAGTGTTATACAAGTCACAAATGAGACAAATATAGATCAAAAAGGTCGATTCATTAAAACCTCTAACAATATTTTTATATTGAGCGAGCCAGGCAAAAATCTGTTCACAAATTTCAGTATTTGTATTATTTGCGATCGGATCATTATAAGGATTAGTATTTCGGCGACACCAAGGGTCAACGTGATTTCGATAATGCAATTTATCACAAAAAATTTTTATTTTTTTAAGTTTTTCTTTTGCAGGAGTACTGCGAACAAAGTTATCTGAATTCTCTATGAACAATTTCAAATGACAGGCATCATCGTAAATTAAGACATCAGGAAAATTTTCTACGTTTTGGTATATATATAGAAGAAAATTATAGACTTGAGCTATAGATTCGCTTCCAAACAATTCATAGAGACTACAAATAAACCCACAATTATAGACAGCTGCAATAATACCGGATGTCCGATGTAAAATACGCTTATATTGTAATGATTTCAATGTTTTACATCGAAGATTGAATCTAAGTCCCGGTGCTCTTCTTTTATTTCTGAGATGATATTTTCGAAGGAGGCGTGTATGAGGATTTAGATGTTGTGTTCTATTACTATCATCTTCGTTTGTCAATAAATGTTCCCGACATTTTTTATTTTTAAATAGTGGTGTAGCTGAACATCCCACCTTAACGTTACGAATGGTTCCGTCAATACTAGGAACAAATATATTTTTGATCGCGCAAACTCTTCTTGTAGCTTTTTGATGTCCATCTAGGACAATCGTAGCACTACAGGGTCCTGTACAAAACGCATGATAGCCTCTTTTACCCCATTTCCTAGTGAACAATTGTTTAATAAATGGTAATAGGTCGAGAAGCATTGTATGAAAATCTTGTTGATCAGGGACAGGCATTCGAAAACTTTCTTTTTCACAGAAATGACCAAGCCGCCAAAGAAACCATGTTTTTTGAAGATGGAAACGGTTCATCATTTTTCCCTTCTTTTTTTCAAATTTAGAATTCAAATAATTAAAAGCATTAACCAAATTAGAAAAACCACAGTGTTTGAATAAAATGTCACCATCAATTTGTATGAGGAAACGCTTTTCATATCCATAGTTAGAAAAAACAACAAAAACTTCATCATCAGGATGTATAGTTAGCATTTTCTGCCCATCGGGTCGAAGGTAATAGTTGTAAAAATATTTATAATTGCATCTAGAGCATCTCTTAAAAAAAATTGTTCCTTTTTTTAATCTTTCACCTGAACAAAAAATAGTAACATCATGATGAGGAATTGGATTACTCAGGTCATTTTTTGAGCAATTAGAATTTGTACATTGAGTGAGTACAGGTATAAAGCAATTCAGAAGAGATGATGAACAATTTTCATACTGAGTAGAGCAATAACTGTTTATTTCATTTTCGAGTTCTTCAGAAGATTTGCCTCCTATATTATCTTTATACATAGGTAAAATCAGTTTCCAATTTTCAAGACGAATTTGTATTTGTTCAGGTGAAAATTTTGTTTCAAAAATACGATTTAATATAGATGTAATATGATGAATACGACGGGGGACAAATTTATTTATTCTAAGATTAAGTTGTTGAAGGGTACTGGCCATTTCCATTGAGGTAAGTGGATAGAGAAGATTTTTTAAATCGTTATTCAATGAAGAAGCCATATATATAAAATGATGAACCTTTTCTTTTTTTTTCTTTTTTTTTTTCAATGTCTTATGTGAAACTGAGCCAACGAATATTATTTGAATAACTACAATAAGGTCAATGCTTTTTTCTGCTTTTTTTCGCTATTTCGTTCGTTTGAAGAACACAGATTGATATTTATATAGAAATTATAATGATCAAGGTGAGAAAGAGGAAACGATTATAAGAAACACCAATCGTTTGAAATACGAAGAAACAGAAAGAAAAAAATTGCTCAATGACACACAAATGGAAAGAGAAGATGAAAAAGTTAATATGTTTGCTTGAAGCAATGCTGTGAGAAATAATCTTATCTTGATAAAGAGAAAGAAGAAAAAATCTAATATAGAATGTCTTCTGTTACTTGCAAAATTTGAGTTTGAGTTTGCATCTATATATTATATAATAAGTATTGATTGAAATATATTTTAAATAAGTAGTAATATATTAAGAAAAATATTCATCATATCTCGAGAGACTGCATATAAATACAATACAAACTGTAATGATGTATAGATAAGTATGAGTATCCGAGCTGAATAAAGTATGATAAAAACGATTGAAAAATTTGTATGCCGTTTTTTTGTCTCTACAATTGAAACTGCAATAATCTGCAGACAATGTATATTCAAGTTGAATAAAATAGGATAGTAACACGTTAAAGATATATAAATTTTCTTGATTTTGTAGTAAAAATTGTAATAATATGTATTTTAGATGTGAGTATTTGAGTTGAGTAAAGGTGATAAAAATGATTCAATGAGATATATTGCTGCTTTTTATTTTACCTCTTTAGTAATGAAAGCATTAGTAAATATGAGTACTATAATTGTTAATAAAATTTTGTTTTCATATATACCAATATTCAACAAAAGCATTGTGACAATGATGACAATAATATTGAAAAAAAACAGAGATTTTCTTACTACAATGACAGCACTAATTGCTCTTATCGATAATAAAGTAGATATTTCTTTTCTTAACGGATCAATGCGAAAGAAAAAATATACCTAGGTCATTTCTCACAAAAAAAGTAAGGTCATTTCTTGTCACGACTACAATCACTTTTATATACAGTTCATATTCACATTGTTCTATTCTTTTTTTACACGCTTTATCATCTTCTATAATTGACTCGTAATGTCTTCAAAAGGAATATCTGCTTATAAGATACGAACTATTATGCAAAAGGCTGCTATATATCCGATGGATATAACTGGAATTTTTGATGAGAACATTTGTGTCCTAATAGACAACATTTGTTCCAGCAGTCAAATGCCACGTGAATATCTTATTACGATGTTGCTTCCTGCTATCGGTCATTTCGTTAATGGTAGTCAAATTCGAACAAATACCGGAACTCCAACGAACATTTCCTTTTTTACAACAATCATTGGATATCCGAGCGTAAATAAATCCAGTGCAACAGAAGCAGTTTTGAATGCATGTCTTGCTATTGAAAAACATCTAGGTATAAAAACTGACGAGAGTCGAATCAATTGTAGTGCTACTGTTGAATCACTCTTGACTGAATTAAAGAATACGTGGCCTAGACTTATTCAAATTTGGGATGAGGCAGTTACTCTTCTACAGTCATTTGATCTTTATAAACAAGGTGGCGCTGCATATGATCGATCAATCATGTGCACGTTGTACAACTCATCTGCCGTTGTTAAACGACAAACTAAATCAGGAAATATTACGGTAGAGAATCCTGTACTCAATATTGCAGCAGCAGCACATCCAGCCGATATTTTTTCTTCCGTATCTAATGAATCCGATGATGATGGTCTAATGGCTCGCTTTCTCTTTTCTGCACCTCAACCATGCATACCTTTATCTAATGAAATAAGATCACTCAATATCGATGAACCGAGCCTTACTCATCTGTTATACATTATATTTTGTTTTAATTCAACAGAGCAAAATGATGGGCGACGTAATGATGATGAAGACCAACGTATAATATATTCATATTCCGAAGATGCACAGAAGGTATACTAGCTTTTATTGATAGCAGCTGTTCTAGTTGAACCATAAAGTTAAATTTCCAATCACTAGAAAAAGAACGAGATGATAAGTGAGTTGTTGAACAAGTATCTTAAGGTTTTAAGTAGTATTAAGAGATAAATGATGTCTCATCATATATAACATTGTGTCAGGGCAACATTTTTTTTCAATAGTATGAGTTTCTCATTCTATTTTGTTTTAATAGGTCATTAACAACGTTTTTGATGAGTATACTCTTCAAATTCGAGAAGCATACGGAATGGATCAAGGTTTGGGATCAATTTTAGGCAAAGCAAAAGTGCAAGTGAGCAGAATTGCCGGTGCGTTACATGCCACCTCCTTGGCTGCTGCTGTTTTTGATCAATTGGTAAATGATGAGTCATTACCTGGTTATTATGATAAGAGCAAAGCAATATTTGATCTACTGAAACGAGTAGTTAGATGTTTCAAAGAGACACACAAATGGACGGTAATCTCGGAAAGTTCTGCAAAGGCAGCTGTACTATTGATGAATTATTTTATAACTCAAAAAAAAATATATACAAATCGTAAGTTGCCTTTGAGATATACCAAAAATTTATTAATGATCTACAGAATCATAAAAGTCGATAATCTTTTAATTCTCATAATTTTAAGTCAGAGTTATGATCGAATTATTAAAACAGATTTATGCAACTATATTAATCTTTTTTCTTCTTTTTCTTGCTCTTCCTTTTGTTTTTTTCCTCTCCTACACTTCTTCTTCTTCTTCTTTTTTTCCTCTCCTACTCTTCTTCTTCTTCTTTTTTTTCCTCTCTTCATCTTTTCTTCTCCTCCTCTTTTCCTCTCCTCCTCTTTTTCTCTCCTCCTCTTTTTCTCTTCTCCTCTTCCCCTTCTTCTTTTTTTCCTTCCTTCCTTCTTCATGTCTTCTCACCTTCTACATGTCTTTTCACCTTCCTCATATTTTCTCACTTGTTTTCACTTATTTCGTCTAACCTTCGCTGTTGCTATCAATGACAGCTCATCTCTCTCTTACACCAGCTAATTAGTATATACAAATTAGTTCTTGAGTGTTACCGAAGCAATTGCAGAAAATGCATCACAATGCGTCTATTCTCTAGTCCTGAAAAAATACTACAATGGAATAATTCCTTTTTTTGCAGAAATTCTCTTATGCGCAACTCGATGCCTTTAATTACTTATGATTTTGCAAATAATATACTGCTCTAGATGTAGAACTAATAAATGGTCTTCCAAAAAAAGGATTGTTTCTCATTCTTCATCTCATTTTTACACTATACATTATATTATATTGATTAACATTTTTTAACTCTAGTACTACCAAATGGATCATTTTTGACTCATACTTAAATTTGAAAACACAATAAAAATATTTTATTACTTCCTGGTTTTAAAAATTAAGTAGCATTTCTAACAAATTATTTTGATAATTTGCTGATCAAATCGAATATCAAAATTATCACATTTAGGCTAAAACACTGATGCAAAACTATAATAATCACGTTAAAAACAAGTAACGTTCATCGACATCGAAGGTTGATTCGCTGGGCCCTAGACTGACGGAATGATGGCAAGCAGATAGGTGTATTTTTATAGTCATTTGTGCCATGTAGATGGTAATTTGTACCATAAGAATGGTCGTTTGTGCCATAGAAATGGTCATTTATGCCATAAAAATGGTCGTTTGTGGAATATAAATGATCATTTATATCATAGAAATGGTCATTTGTGCCATAACAATGATCATTTGTGCCATAAAAATGGTCGTTTGTGCCAAGCCCTTGTTACAGACAGACAGATACAGGTGAATTACGGTTTCTAGACCCTAGTCTTTCAGTCTAGGGAAAATGTATCTTATCAGTAAAGTGCTAAAAAAAGACATGGTCGCACTAGGGTTAATGTCATTTTTTCAGGTCCAGTGCATGAAACTTTAGATGAAATGCGACAACGACTTGCACAGAAAAGGGATGAACAAGAACGAATAGACAAAAACCAAGCAATATTGGCTGAATCTCGCCGATCAAAAACATCAACACGATCAGAAGATGGAAATGAACAGCGATATCCTGAAAAGGTTATCTTACTAGCTAGAGGTACAAAAATACCGTGGATCAATATAAGCCTAAATCATGGAGGATTTAAAGCAGCTACACTTCATCAAGCTGCAGCTAATCTTCAAACTGAAAAACTTGGTATGTTGAGGTTTTTGTACTTACCGTAGAATATGACCCAGATAGATGAAAACAACACCAAAACTCTCTCGATGGCAACAGGTAACTAAAATACTCTGAGCAATCTTTTTTTTTGAAGCAGAACATTCGACGAATTTCGATGAATGCATAGAAGACGGAAGCAGCAAAGTAGCTCTCAACTAATGACGTACAAAACAGACAGAAAAGAACACAAAAGACACGAAAGAAAATATGTCATCCTTAGAGGAAAAGAGAACGCAAGATAACCATCGTTGAGAAGAGAACGAAGGAAGAAAAAAAAGAAAAGCGAACACATTCATTTTGTCACTTACTCAACAATAGTGATCCTTTGCGACAATAAAAAAAAACATATTAATCATCATAAAATTTATCTTGTTATGATCGCAAGAACCGATCGAGACACAATACTTTAAATACATTCAAAATACGCATCAATTCATTATTGTTATATATTATAATTTGCTTTATATTCATATAGGATTCTTGAGAAAAGAAAAAACAACTGGTGCTCAAAGAGCAACGACATACTTTTCCAAAGTACCAATTGATCCAAAATGGAACGCCGAACAATTAACCACCTTCAGTAATAAATTAGCTAACTTCAATGTTTCGCTGATGGCTTACCAAGCATCTTTCACACCTGAAGCAAGTGTTTCCACGACCGAAACAGAAGATGAAGAGAGTATGGATGCCTCTCCTTCACGTGATGATGTTCCAACTGCAATGTCTCCACCACCATTGCCACCACGTGATTCCATTCACACTACTGCTTCATCATATGCAAGCCTTGGATTTGAATTACCACCGCCAACAACACGTGTTCAGTCACAGCAACGAACCGAAACGCCAGGAAGTCAATTTTTCTTACCATCCGACAAAACAACAACAGAACAATTTATAAAACCGCATACATTACAAGTTAGAAAGAAGAACAGAATAGAACCAATCGAAAAACCAACATCACCCTACACATCACCACGAAGGGATATTCTTCCATCTCAAGAATATCAATATCAAAATATTTAGCTATTCTGAATTGATCACAGTGACAACTGATTATTCTTCATAGCACACAAAAAAAATATTTAGCTAATTGAACTTTACTAACACAATTACTTGCTCCTAATATAATCATCGAATCTTATACACCAATAAATTTCTAAGTTGTCTACACGTCAATTGTTGAAACTTGAATTGAAAGTTGAAAGTTGAAACTTGAATTGAAACTTGAAACTTGAAAC